ATTATTAACCAATCAGAACAGAGTTGGCTTCTACATGTTGAGGATTTTGCACCTTTTTGGTGACGCCATTCGGAGAAAATGTGCATAATTACGGGCAATTGATGACTATACCTTTCGAGGATTTTGCAAGCATGATGTTTCTGGCTTAATATAGTAATCTTGATTTTTTTAAGGAAAGATATCAACTAAGGACTGTTGAAAAAAAATTATATCATTTAAATTTTAAAACTGCATTATAGATCATTAATCTTTATATGAAATGACTGAATTGTTCCTAAAATTAAAAATAATTTTAAAAAGGTCACCCCACTATCATTAACATTGGCCATAGCTAGAGACTCTATCGCCATGTGGGTTGTCGGAACTTTGGCACTGGTGACAATTTATTGAGGAATAATTAGTGAAGGTAGCCAAATATGAGTTTGATCCCATGATCCTTTTATGGTAATCATGTATGGCAAAAAATAATATATATATAGTAACTCAAACTTATAGCCCAAGCTTCTATAAATGTTTGTTTTTCATCAATAGACATTCATTTAAGTTTTAATAACAACACGTTTGAAATTAATAACAATTCATTTGAGTTTTAACATGTTAGAAAAACTAATAAGATAAGCTTAACTGGACAAGTGTCAGTCATTCGTCAACAAGTATTCGTCCATGTTTTGACAACAACTTATTCAAAATTAATAACAATTCATTCATGTTTTAACAAATTAGAAAAACTAATAAGATGAGCTTAATAGTATAAGCGTTAGTTCTTTGTCAACAATTATCCATTTAGGTTTTAACAACAACTCATTCACAATTAATAACAATCCATTCAACCTTTAACAAGTTAGAAAAACTAAAAGGATGACTTAATTGTGCAAGTATTAATTATTTATTAACAAGTGTCCATTCAAATTTTGAGCAACTCATTCAAAATTAACAATAATTCATTTGAGTTTTAATAAGCTAAAAACTAGTGCTTGTACAATTAAACGTTTCTTGTCAATTTTTCTCACTTGTTAAAGCCTGAATGGATTGTTATTAATTTTAAATTTGTTATTGTTAAAGCTCAAACATATACTTATTGATAAAAAAATAGCAATTATACAATTAAACTCATTCTATTAATTTTTCTAACTTCTTAAAACATGAATGGATTATTGTTAATTTTGAATAATTTATTGTCAAACCCTGAAATACTTGTTGATAAATGATTAATACTTTTATAATTAAAATCATCCTATTAGTTTTTCTAACTTGTTAAAACTTAAATGTATTATTGTTAATTTTAGTTAAGTTGTTATCAAAACATGAATGAATACTTATCGATAAATGACTAACACTTGTTAAATTAAGCACATTCCATCAGTTTTTCTAACTCATTAAAACCTGAATGGATTGTTATTAATTTTAAACATGTTAGTGTTAAAATTTGAATGAATATTTGTTAATAAAAAAAACTAGCGCTTATACAATTAAGCCTATCCTATCAGTTTTCCTAACTTATTAAAACATGAATAGATTGTTGTTAATTTTGAATAAAATTTTGTCAAAATTTGAATAAATATTTGTTGATGAATGATTAACACTTGTACAATTAAACATATTCTATCAGTTTTTCTAACTATTTAAAGCTTGAGTGGACTATTATTAATTATGAATGACTTATTGTTAAAATTTGAATAAATACTTGTTGATAAATAACTAACACTTGTAGAAGTTTGGGGGTTAGAAGTTTAGACTACTACATAAATTATTTTTATCCATGTATGATTGAGATAGCTTGGTGACTATCAAGCTTTTTAAGTGACTAAGGGGTTATGGAATTAAACCTTCTTTGGCTACCTCCACCAATTATTCCTCAATGATCCCTTGGCCACCTTCATCAATTATTTCTCAATAGTAGCAGGATTTGCAGTAGCCTTGTTGGCATGCAAGGTCTCCAGTGGCAAGAGGAGGTAAGGAATAGTGCTCATTGAAGGGAAGAAGGCAGAGCAAAAACAAGCAATAGCTATCGAGTAAGCTATTAAAGTGGGAGAAAGGGAAAGGGATTCTCTTGAGTTGGGATTTAATTAATTTAAATATGCCTGTTTGAGTTTTAGTTGAATATAATTATTTATAAAATTAATTAATTAATATGATTAATTTTAATTATAATGCAATTTATTTGGATATTATTTTTTAAATTAATTTTAATAAAATTGAATATGTTTTATGATTTAGTTAGAAATAATTTTAGATGTAAAAATTACCATAAAGAACATTGCTTTTCAGAATTAAATTATTGATAAAGTTATATATAATATTATTAAATTTGGTAAACTTTATTTAACGAGTAAAATATATTATTTAACTTATATATATGATTAAGTATATAAATTTAAATTATATTAATATTAATAATTTAATTTATGTAAATAAAGAAATCAATATATTAATTTCAAACACATTTAATAAAAGAGAAAGATATAATTTTCAAATGCAAAACATCAATTTTACAATAACTAAAGATTTGGTTGATAATATACAAGTTAATTTCTAATGACATTATAAATATAAGCCATATCTGATGAAGATATTGTGGACGATGGTAAGGACGAGCATTCATCAACGTGATAATTTTCCTTATGTTCTATTTGATCTTCCCTTTTATAACGCATAAAATTAGAATTAGATTGTTTTCTAATGAAACTATGTATTGTCATTGTTGTAATAATGATTTGAACTGATATATCATAGTTAAAGCTAGGCATATTGTGTAAAATTAAAAACCTATTCTTCTGAACTTAAATGTTTTTTTTATTGTGCATCGTAAAATTGAATGAAAATAATTGAAGGCCTCATTGCTATTTGCAAAACTAGTTGATTTTATAAAATCAAAAAGATAGTAGCGTTCTCGCCTATATAGTCTAAGGTATCTATTTGGTTTTAGATAGCCGGCATCCATCAAGTAATGTTTACTTTGTAAAAATGAGATTATTATCAATGTTTGTAAGTTGAAAAGTTCAACATAAATAAATTGAAACAACAAATACACCTAAAGGAAAATGTGAAAAGTTCATCGGCCAAGTTGTCAAAGCACGTTTAAATATGTGAGCATCATGGGTAACACCCTCCCATCCAACCAAGACAAAGGGAAAACACATGTCCTAAACACACATAGCCATTACATTTTGCGTTGAGATTCCTTTTCTTCTAATATGTTTTAATTGTTCATTGGTTGGGACTACACATGAAATATGCGTACCATCAATTGCTCTAATTACATTTTTTAAAAAATAGCTAATATTGCTTATCATTTTTTTTTGTTTTATGTGCAACAAAAGGACTTGTCTTGTGATTTGATATGTTCCATTACAAGTTTACAACAAGCCATTAAAACTTATAGGAATGTCTGCTAATAGTCTCTCATGAGTAAGCCATTTCTTGTGACACCCTGTTTCCTAATATATATCCAATTATATTTAAAAATATTACAACCATTTCTCGTATCCTTATTTGCCTAATATCCTTCAATCCATTCCATACCAATTCACTGCATAATTGATGAAACATATATGGTTTCATTTTAAATATTTTATAGCAACAAAGTGAGTGTCCTTTTAAAGTTTCGTTCGCCTATAAATGGCATAAATATCCACTACTTCTTCACAGCTCTTTATATAAATGTTTTACTATATACAACCCAATCAAGGCACTAACTTTTTGAGCTCTCTTTAATATTTTTTTTATATGACTTTTCATACTCTTTCTTACCGTAGCCAAACACATGCATAACATATACACTTAATTTTAATTATAAATAAATCTAAATGACTCAACAATGCAAATATCAATAACTTTTTCACAATATTAAAATAATTCAATATCATAAATATTTCATATTCATCAATCAAAGAGTTACATTAATCAAAATAAGAACACACCACAGATCGAAAGAGTTTTCTCCAAATCTAACAAAAAAATAGTTGGAGAAGATCATCTACCTTGCAAGAGGCTTAATTCGGCTGATGTTTGACTTGAACAAATCAGAGGAGGAGGAGACGAATAGGATGCTAGACAAAGAGCTTATCGGAGATGGGGTGAGTAGATTGGGACAACACAAACTTTTTCGATTATGGCCGGAGATTGTCGCCACTGGCCATAGATCACAGATGGCAAACAGCGACCAAGTCGGGGGTAAGAGGAGAATGGCACAGGAGAAGAAGGAGCACATGGGAGACGAGAAAACGAGAATATATGCAGTTTGACAACGGTTAGAGATTGTTTCTGCTGGCCATAAATCAACAATTGTGGACGGCAACCAGGTCGAGGGTGGGAGGACGAAGGCACGGAGAAGAAGGAGCACAAGAAAGCCCACGGGAGACGAGATAATGAAGGAATATACGTAGCTGTGTAGCACAAACTAAGGATAATATTATTGGCAGGTGAAAATTTTTGACGAGTAATTAATATTCTAACGACAAATTGAATTGGAGGAGTTGCCACAAATAATCAATTAAAGAATAAATGATGTTGTTTGGGTGTTTTTCACCCAAACCACGATTTTCGCCCAAAAAATTGATCCAGTGTCCAGACAAGCACGACGCGCATCAAGGCAGATGCGATTTACACGGCGATCGAGAAAGAGGATACTTGTCCAAAGCTTCCCGTTTAGATGGTTTCACTGGAAGGAAGATGGTTTCTCAGGCTTTGATGATTTGGATTCATGGGTGGTGGCAAAGCAGAATGCAAGAAATCAAACTCTAATGACCGGGCTCCACCTGGCCACAAATGACGAATAATTTTGACATCTAACAGCAGGGTCTAATTACTAATTACCAATACTTATAAAGTACTGGCTGCTTCTCGAATTCTTTGACAAAAATGAAACTTGACCTAAAATTATATTAATATCCTTAGTTTCATTTCAATAGCACAATGAATCATACTCCTATATAAAAATTATTCACTCAAAACAAATTTCTTTAAGTTTAAATAAGTATATTTAATAATCAAGATACTCGTTAAAGCATAGTAAATGCGAATGGAAACTGTCTATTGTTATTCTTTTATCTTTACAAACAAAAGGCACAACGCATTGGCGGATACAGAACAGGGGAACACCCAAAAAAAAAAAAAAAAATCAATCCCACCTTTATTTACGCCCGCATAAACCAAACCTAACATTTTCTGGATTTTACAAATCAACCCCCTCCTCTCTTTCTTTTTTTTTCAACAACCTTTTCGTCCTATCACAATTCATAGATTTAACCTAAATTACCAAGACTAACCGTACTAGACATAGCAGACCCCTGATAGATGATGATAATGATACAACATACAAGCACACCTATTTCAAGCTCGTTCACGTTTTCGCCCCTACTTTTTCCCAGTTTCAGATCTGCCCTTCCGTTTAAAAAAATCACAGTCGGATCAGACCTTCGATCTGGGAGGAACGTGGCGAAGATGACGCTCGACTTAACGAAGAAGAAGATAATGATGAGAGGGAGTGAAATCACAAGGAAATATTTATTTTCTTCGGATCATTCAACCCGATTTTCAACCAGATCCATATCATTCGAGTCGGAGGAGACGCCTCAGATCTCGCGTGGCAGAGTCATCAACGGCCGCTGAGAGCTGCTGCTTCTTCGAAAAAGATGGAAGAGGAAGCGCGCTCGGCGCCGGAGACACCGCAAACGCCGATCCTGCGTACACGTCGCTCTTCACGATACGAATCTGCTTCGGAACCATTTCTGGATCCGGACCCAATCTCTGCGTTCCACAAACCACCAATTCCTCGCTTTCCGTCTTCAAAACCTCGCTCTTAATCGTTGAATCCAAGGATTGTCCTCTCCTGAGAATCGTCACTTTTTCCATCACCAAACCGCTCCCCTTCGCCATCTTCGAATCATCGGAGCTCAATTTCTTTGAGACCAACGGCTCCGGCACCGGCTGGCTCGAAACTACAACCCGCTTCCTCTGGTCCTGCCTCTCAGGTCTGGTCGATGGTTTCCGGGAAGGTCGGGAGTTTGGTACGTAGTTATTGTAATTACAGTAACCCCCATAATTCCTCCGCCTGGAAAACACTGCCGGAGGACCCCTAATCCGTTCGACCAAGCAGTCCTGAGGTCGCAAAACCTCCGTCGCCATGGCAGGTAATTATTTAATTCAACGAAAAAAAAATGAAAACAGGATGATCCTCAAATCCTAATTAAAGCGCAAGCGCAGATCTTGTTTGTTTTCGTAAGAAAAAGAAAAAAAGAAAATGGAAGTGCCGGATTCTGCTTCTTCTTCGTGAAGGCGTAGCCCTTGTTCCTACGAAACCCTTACTTCTCTCTTCCTCCTCCTCGCAGGGAAAAAGGAGGAAGTTGGGTGTTTGAAAAGACGTGGATGAAGATGGCTTATGTGAAGCTGCAATGTTAAAAAGCAATGGTGGGGAGGGTGATATATAGGAGAAGGGGAAAGAGACAAAGCGGGGTCGGGTGGGGGGCGGGTTGCCACCGACCTTCCCTCGTTGACGCGTGAAGATAGACATTTGTTACAGAAAGAGAAATGGTAAGAGACAGCAGGCTCATTCTGAGTGATCAGGGGACACGTGGCTCAATGACTTGACCTGGTCCACCTTGGCTTTTCCTGGAAGGGCGTGTCCCTGGGGCCCTTCGAATACGATGTCTGTTATAACGGCGTCAGCGTGTTCGACCTCACCTCTGCACCTTACAGTCATGAGGTAACGCCGTCATATGTGCTGGGTTAGTTGTCCTTTTCAGTGCCCTCTATCTTTTGTACAGTTAAATTTTTTCCGTAGAAATTTATATGAATTTAAAAATTTAAATTTAATAATTTTTAAAAATAAAAATTAAATTTAAATAGTTTAATTTACAATGGAAAGTAAAAAAAATAGAGGAGAGAAATCCACGGCTTCCTTGATAGGGTCCAGATGAGACTTTCACTGTATAATCTACGGATTTTTTTTTTTAAACTAATGTTACCACATCTTCTTCGTTCATATATTCGCTACTTTGCATTTATTTTTAATTTTAATTTTAAGAGTGATTGTCTGACGTAAAAAAAATCAATTTATGCAGTATTTATTATTTTGTAATTTGAATTAACTTTTCATTCACGGTTTAATTCATAAGTAGACTTTTCCATAAATTAAATGAATTGACATAATACATTTTTAATAAGATTAGATCAAATTACCAATGAATCATTAAACATGTTTGCATGAAAAAAAGTAGGTTAAGATAACCACTTTCCATTAGGCGATTTCGGTTCACTGTTTTTGGCGTACCAGCATCACCAAGGTTCATATACTTTACACCTTCTACCTAACCTTTGAATGTAACCTTGTATCTTTGGAATTAATAGGATTGTTCTCATTGCAAGTTCCAACATGAAATAACAATTATTATCGTATAACATGATATTTGGTTGGTGAGTGCAAAAGGGGAAAAAAAAAACAATCTAGTAAGGTGCATCTAACAATCCGATTATTTTCAGATTGCAAAAATGGAAGAAAAAGGACAGAGTTAAAGAAGATAAAATGCAGATAATGAAAAATAAATTACAGGATTCTGATTCAGGTCCTTCCCCCAATTTTTCCCAAATACGAACACCATTTAACCAACAACTGGGGTACATAACTAAAGAACCTTGTGAAATCAGGTTTTTGAAAAGAACTATAAGAACTCTTTTTTTTTTTTCGGATTAACGTGCAAATGAAGGGTTTTTTTTTTTTTTCCTTGTGCCAACAGCAAATGGAAGCTTAATAATTGAAAACATGGTGTGCTTAATAATAATAGAGATTGCTTGTCTACCCCGAAAAAAAAATAATAGAGATTGCTTGATTAACCAACTAATTCATTTTGCATATTATTAAACTATGGAAATGGCGACAAAATAAGAAGGCAAATAATTTTGCAGCTCACATGGCCTTGTACTTAAAAATGGGGAATTTGTCTACATAACTTGAACAGAATGCTAAATCCTAAGCTGTTTCCTTGTCGCCTGTCGTTTCTCTTCATTCAAGTGACGATCATTCTCCACTGATACATTTTTATTATTAGTTAAATGCTTATTAAAATAATGCATAAAATCAAAGGTGATCTTGCTTTCTAAAATATAAAGCGTTAACCAATGAAAATGACCGTGCAATATCTGTAAAGAATCGAGGTCAAAACTGTCATTTGATCTCCCCATCCGTGGGCGTCTGCGTGTATGACATTTCCCGTTTAAGGTTAGGCGAGTACGGATGCTAGATGTTAATTACATAATGTTATAATTATTGTTAAAAAAATTTTATGTAAACCCCATACGCCACCTCATTTGTACATCAACCAACTAGAAGATGACACCTTAAGAAATTTTAAGTTGAGTTGGTACTATTTGGATTTATATTTCTTTTGTTTAATTCATACTCTTTAAATTATTTTAAATCCTTTTTCATTCATGGTTGTTTCTTTTTCACGAAGTGGTGTAAAATTGTTGAGCGGACTTGAGTGTAGTGTACATCACAATTCGTCTCCATGGAAGGGCAAGTTTGTGATTGTAAAAGGAGAGATATGGCGCTTGGTCTGTACAATGGAGATCAATAATTGACAAGATATTATGAAGAAGCAAAATATGAGAGGACCGAATAATTGAATTGTCTGTGTGAATGTCCCCACCCTATTGTGGAATGATTTCCCACTGAGAAAAGAAAAAAAGTAAAAGGAAATATGTGATGCTTTGGCTGCAGTGTGGGGTCAAATTCGGCTTTCCACCTTAAAACATAGAAGAATTATACTTTGAGGAGGTGGAGTGGAAACATCCTCCTTTCAAGAAAACATAATTTAAAATGTGACTCTGCTTTCGGAATCTCCGGACGATAGCAAAGAATCAGAGTGTTGTTCAATGACGAAGCAAGCTATTGTTTCTTTCTAATCATTACTAAACAAATAAAATTATAAAACGACGGACGATAAGAAAAATAAAAACTGTTGCTATTAAAAATTGGTCTAGCGGGCAAGAATTCTAATGATAACTCACAAAATTACGAGTTTAAATCCTGCTATCATATAAATATATTATTAATAAATGATTTATAAATATTTTTGTAAATATTCTTTGAATCTAAAAATATATTAAGTGGAGGTTGATTCACCTTAACTTTATTATCATATTAAAAAAAGAAGAAGGAAAAATGTTGTACGGTGGACTAGTCATCAATTTTCTGTTGATTTTCTCTTCTCTTCTCTTCTTTTTTCTTTCTCCCCCCCCCCCCCCCTTTTTTTTTCCGAATGATTATGTTATTGATTGTTTTAGTGAAGACATGGTATGAAAAAATAGACCGATAACATCACCAGGCCAATCTGGTTGACGAGTTAAACTAGGGAGGTTATGAATTGAAGTACCCCGGCCAATCTAAGAAAACCCAATCAACTCGGTAAGTTATTAGATAGACTTAGGTTATTTTCTCTTATAAATATTGAACCCTAAATCACTACAAAAAAAATATAAATTAGTGAGGAATTGTATATTCCTCTCTAAAATGTTAAATTAATAAGAGATATTGATTTTATAATTAAACTTATTCATATTTAAAATAAGATAATTAGTATAAAAAATAGTGAGGGATTCATCCCTCTTTAAAATTAGATAATTAGTGAGCGATTTAGCTAAGGATTATCCCAGCTAATCACTGCAAAAAAATTACTTTTAAAAATAAATTTTAATTAATTATATATTTAATTGTTTTCATTTAAAAATAAAAAACAATTTTAAAAATTAACTGAAATATTTACAGTAAAATTATTTAATTTTTAATATTTGTTCTATTTTAAGTTCATTATCCTTAAAAAATATAACATAAAGAATCATATAAATACAAATATAAATATTTGTTAACATATTAATATTTAAAAATAAAATATAATATACATGTGTATTTTTATAACATATTATTTGATATGCTTGTGTAATTAAATAATATATATTTAACTTCTCATATAATCATTATAAGTGCATTTCAATTCAATTAATAAAGAAAAAGAACATAAGACTTGGGGAAGGTAGAAGGTCAAAGGTTGAAGTACTGGCCTTGACATAAACATAATAAATACGTGATATAGTAGTGAGCAGGTGATGTGGCGTAAGGTGGAGGATAATATGGTTGGCGATGAGCCATGGGATGGCGAGTAACGAGGCATAAGTTGACCCACATGTAGCTGGTGATGAGGCATTAATGATTTGGCACTAGTTGATTATTTTTAAATATAAACATTTAACAAATGAGTGTGTTCCATTGCTAAATTTAGTGAGGCTGTTTTTTGCAATGGAATTAGTGATAGACAAAATCTCTTGCTAAATGGAATTTAACGAGGAATATTTACTATTTAGTAAATGATTCATCCTTCATTAAATTGAATTTTTCTAATATAAAACCCTTAACTAATATTTTTAATGTTGATGTATTTTATTATTATTAGAAACTTACAATTAACACTCATATAAGACATGTATGAGTTTGGCCCAAAAAAAAAGACCTTACAAGATTTTATGAAAAGATTTTTCATTTACTTGAGAATGGAGGACTTCTCAATATAAATATCTCTAATTTTTTAAAATTAAACGTGCAAGTTTGGTCATCAATTATTTTTTAAGAGCACTACTACATTGGATAGTATATACTATGAAATAATACAAAATAAATTATTAACTTTTAAAAATAAAGTATCCAACATGTATCATTAATTTTCAATCAACAAAAGTTAGCTTCCCCCTAGGCCCAAAAAAAAATGACACGTGGTACTCTACATTAGAGGATAACTATTTTTTTAAAATAAAGATATAAATTTAGTCACAAACTATTTTTTCAAAGAATATTGGGTAGCCTTTATTATTAGGTGATGCAAAGAAAATTATCAACTACAAAAAATGAATTATTTAGCTAGGAATCATCACTAACTAATCTAAATTAAGCTTAAATTATTTAGGCATGAACTATTTTTGCCCTTGTAATAGCATCGCAAGTTTGGTCATGAATTATTTTTTAAGACAATGAAGTAATTAAATCAAGTTTCTTCCACGTATAGTGGTATCACAATTTAAATTGCTATTTCACTTGAATTACCATAGAGATTTAAAGGAAACATTATATTCTTCCTCTTCTTCTTCTAATTTTATTTCGTTGGCATCGTTTTCGTGAATGTCTTTAGATAAAAATTTTTTAATTCTTTTCTTCTCAAACTAAGATTGGGAATGAAGCGAGAATATTAGAGAAATTGACATGTTACAGGCATTGTTATTAAACTCTCGAGTTGACTTTACAAGTTTATTGATTTTATATTTTTAGGTTACAAAATTGTGTTAACTTGCTCATAACTCAAATTAGATAAAACTCGATTAAACTTGTGAGTTGAATTTTCATATTTATTATTTTTATGCTCCTAATTTATAAAATCATATCAATTTACTCATAAATTCATTAAGCAAAATAGGTTCAATGAAAAATATATAACTTAATTAAGTTATATATTATATAACTTAACTTATAGAAGTGGTGGGATTTGCTTCAATGAAAAATAAAACTTAAAAAACAAAAAAATAATATTAATAAAAGAGAAAACAAAAGATACCAAAAATAAGTTGTCATATTTGAAATTTTTATATTGAATATAATAATATATAAATGTAGATAGATTTAATTTTAATAATTTATATTTAAAATACATTTAAATTAAATCATGATCATATTTTATATTTTAATTATTTAATCATATACTTTTAAAGGCTACTCCCTATTATATATAGACTTATTAATAGAGGTAACTCTTATAAATTTACGATTCAAGTTTACATTTTGAGTTTATATTTCTGTCATGAATTTATTTAAGCTCATAAGTTTAACAACCTTGGTTGCAGGTTCTATAAGTTAGAAAGTAAACAACTTTCAATCAAAATTAGTTTAAGAAAAAATAATTCATAGTTAAATAGTTTGTTTTCTATGGTTGATAATTTTTTTTTCCACCACCCAATAGTAAAGGTTATCTAATTCTTCTCAAAAAATAATTCATGGTTACATTTACACTGGTTATTTGCTAAGGTGAAGCATCACGTGTCATTTTTCATTCAAAAATTTTTGGTTCACATGGAAAGCTAATTTTCGTCGCGTGAACATTGACGATAGGGGCTGGATGTTTTGTTTTTGAAAGTTAAAAATTTATTTCATACCACTACACAATATAGGCTACCTAATGTTCCTAAAAAAATAGTTGATGGCCAAATTTACCTCTTCACCCTTTTTATAATTAGAGTTAATAAGCATCTTAAACCCTAAGCTCTTGTACAAATAATATTCTGGACCTTGAACTCCTAAAATGTACAAAAAATCTTTTAAACTTTTAAATTTTGAGCGCCTAAAACTTTGTTGTTAATTTAAAAAAATAATCATTATTTTTAAATGTTAAGATGAGTATCACATTAGCATCCAACCATGCCTCACAACTATAAAAATAAAATTTCTTTTCTCTAATTCAATGATGAGGTTTTAGGCCTTCAAAATTTAAAAATTAATAAATTTTTTTACACATTTTAAAAGTTCAAAGTCTAAAATGCTATTCCCATAATAAGTTAAAGTCTATGATGTTTGTTAACCCTTATATTAAAAATAAATATTTTTGTATTTAAATTAAAAATATATTATTTTAATCTTAATCGATCTAGCTTGTAAATTATCGTGTTGACTAATTTAATAATCAAATAAATTTCTAATATTTTAAATAAAGATGTTATATTACTCTTTCACCCTAAAAAAAATACCATTATGTTTTTATTTATAACAAAAACTATCACTTTTTTTATACAAGCAAAATCTTATATTTCAATAAGTATTATTACATATTTTTTAAATCATCCCTCATAACTTACATTAACAAGAAATAATTAATGCATACTTGTGTTGATTAACATAGAGCATTTTAATTCAATTTTTTTATTAACTTTCTTAAATTGTATAATACAATTTTTTTTATATATAAAAACGGCGAGAGTACTTGGTCACACTCTCTCTTCTTTTGCCAAATGATTCATTTCTCTTCCGTGAAATATTAAAATCATATAACATTTTTTTAAATTTTAAAATTATACGTCCTTTCCCTCCTACTAATCATGCCATATAAATTACTGCTTTGACATTTATTGGGCCTGTTTGGATATCTTTTTAGAATCAATTTTAGGTTCAAAATCTTGATTTTAAAAAATTTTATTCAAACACCCCAATTTTTTCAAACTCCATTTAGTTTTCAAAACTCCATTTGGAATAAGTTAAAATTTGTTCTATTTTAAAAAATTAATATCATAATTAATTTTTAAAAATTTATTCAAACACCATCACATTCTAATAATCAATTTTTTTTAATTAATTTTTTTCAATTAAAATCCAAACACACCCGTTATCTTCCTGTATTGTTAGGTTGTAAAACTGCAGACGTAAAAAAAGAGGAATTTACATGGCATATCTAGGTTTTATAGATGAGTTTATTTTTGTTTTGAGTCGTCAAAATATATTTTATCATGATGTTTAAATGTTAGTCCCTCCATCGTCAAGTAAAACTGTGGAATTCAAAGTCAATAACAGATATTTTGTTCTTTTAAAAAATGTAGCAGCGAGGGAAAAATGAAATAGCAGGGAATTTTGTAGAGAGTGATTATTAAATTTTTGTGATGTGATGTGATGGTTACCTCACCAAAAGAAAATGGCCACAGAGATAAATCTCTAATCTGGACGGTGATTATTACACGCACATGACATATCCACCACACAAGGCGCGCGCACATGCACCGCACATTTTTCTCTCCCATCCACCACAAAAGTCCTTTCATGTTCCAGCAATTGTTACCGTCATCATTAATTATTATTACTACTCAAATATGAATATCCACACTGTTTCTTTCTTTCTTTCTTTGTTTTTTTTTTTTGGGTGGTGAGGCAAGGTATCTCTCATGAGTCATGATGTGCTAAGCGCCCAGGACAGGAAGCTTCCTTTCCATCTTCTTGGGCTTATACATGGGCCATCGGGTCCACCCAAGAAAAGACCTTCTACTACCGGGTCCAGCAAGCCCGTCGGGGTCACTTCATCTTAACATTCAAGTTTGTTTTTGATGGACCCAGAATTCTAACAGGCCCAAGTTTAGATGACAGATCTGGTCAAGCCTCAACCTCTGCGGCTTTCATTAAGCCGGCCTCGCATTTAGATTAAAACGCAGTGTCCCATGGCAATAAGCCAATGACTTCTTACTATTGGAGCAAGAAATCCGTTGGAATTTTTGGCATCAAATTAAAATCCTAATCATTTTTAAAACCAAAATCAAATAGGAAAATTCCCTAAGGTAGATGGTACCCTAAGGCTTAAGATTGATGGAATATCAACAAGAGGCTTGATGGATCTAAACTATTCTATTATCAACGTTTTGCTCTTCAAATTCCCAACAGCTACAACACATTTATATCGTGCGAGCTTCTTATTCAATATTCAGTCCACGAAAAGTCACGAGGACATGCGAGAAGCACTTTGAAGAGCACTCAAAAGACAACTCACTGTTATGTTCAATATTGGTCATCGAGTTTGATTGGTCTTAGAGAATAACATCGATTTGACGTGAAATGTGATCCCTTTAGAACCACCGAAGGTGCAACATCGATTTGAATGACACAGCAAACACGTTTTCGAGTATTTCGAGCAGCGTTCGGCTTGCATTTGAAAATTATTATGGGCGTGGGCGTGTGACATGGGGCAACGAGCGGAGCTACTTACCAAAAAAAAAAAAAAAGTAATAATAATAAAATAACAAACCACGAATATATTTTGTCTTGTGCTCCAAGGGCCCTATCCATTCGAACCACAAATCTTGTCTACCAGCCACATCTTTTGGGTTGGGACAGACACAACTGATCCTATGAAAAAAATTCCCTTGTTGACACCGAATCCTTATCAAAATTCGTTCCTTCACCCAGGTGAGCAGACCAACACTGTTACATGATTCAAAAGCAGAGGACTTTGGTGAAGAAGAAGGGAATGGAATGAGGACAGTTTACTATATTTTATAAAAGCAAGAAAAGACAAGAAGTACAAGCCAACGGAAAAAGTAGGAGTGACTCAGTGAGGCAGCTTGACAGTTTCGACGGAAATGTTAGCGGATGAACCGGAATCGGGTGTCTCAAACTTCGATCTTCCCGAGGAGGTGCTGCAAGCTCTGCCAACGGATCCTTTTGAGCAGCTTGACGTGGCCCGCAGGATTACTTCCATTGCCCTCTCGACGCGTGTCAACGCCCTCGAATCAGAAGCCTCCGCCCTTCGCGCCAAGCTCGCCGAGAAAGATTCTCTCATCGCCGAGCTTCAGTCCCACGTCGAATCCCTCGACGCCTCCCTCTCCGAAACCGCTGATAAGCTCGTCCGAGCCGACCAAGATAAAGTCCCGTCTCGAACTGGGTCCCCCCCACCCTAATGCCCCAGTTGAATTTGTTTTTATCTAATTTGTGCCTAAATTCTGTGCAGGAGAGCTTGCTTAAGGATAACGCTTTGCTTTCTAATACCGTGAAAAAGCTCAATCGAGATGTCTCCAAGGTGCCCATTTGCCAAGCCTTACTATGGAATTCGATTTTTGAATTCTGATTATCACACACAGTTGCGAAATCGGAGTGACATGTTTTAACCTTGAATCTGCTTGATTTAGTAATTTTATCGTCTGCATAGCCCTTTGTTTCTGTTGAGGTTTTAAATGAAATGGGAAGGGCTAGTTGAGTGATTATGTTATAAGGTCTCTACCGTGTAGAATGTGGGTGATCGCTGGACTTATGGGGTCTTACTGTAATGTTTGCAGTTGGAGGTTTTCAGAAGGACGCTTATGCAATCGCTTCAAGAGGATGAAGAAAATTCTGTAAGTTGTTATTAACTAAATTATGCTATTTTCTGTGATTAAGAGGTGCTTGTCGTGGAATAAGGTGGCTGGTTTTTGTTTCTTATTGCGTCTCTCTAGTGTCTACAATGTATAGTACTGGATATGGTTTGAATTAGCTAATGGCTTGTCCTACTGTTTGCCGTAGGGAGGAGCATCGGATATTGTTGCTAAAATACAAAGTCAAAATAGTCTGACTTCCGCATCGCTTGGAGGTACTTCAAATGTTTTTTGACTCGCATTTCTTGTAGGCGAATTCTGACATCATTGTTGGCTTAGAATGGCTGATATGTAGTTTTAATGTTTTGTTATGCTTCATCTTTGAGTGAACCAATTTAAAGATTTGGGGCCTCAATTTGAGTTTGAATTCGATGGGGAAGTCAATAATAGACAACAATCTGAAGCTGAGATTCTCAACTCGTCATGGACAAGTTGTATTGCACAGGCACTTTGTTATCATTTTGGTTTTTGATAAAGTTCCCATTCCATTACAGATGATGATGCCTCGTTACCACCTTCTAGAACTTCTTCCATGAGAACCAATATCTCTGATACAGGATATTCATTTGCTGAAGATCGTGAGGCTGATGGTATGTAGTCTGCACTACTATTATCTATATGGCAATTCATGGTTTTCATTTGTTTTGTCAATATGGCTGCTTTCAGTGTGGATTCCTGAAGATTGAACCGTTATAATTTTGCATGTGTATCATGATGTCGCAGCAACTAGACCTCGAGTATCACATGGTGTCCTCTTAGCATCCCAAGCTAGCACTCCTCGGATAACTCCTCCTGGTTCTCCCCCCAGTTTATCTGCATCAGTATCACCAACAAGAACATCTAAACCTGTGTCACCAAGGAGACATTCGATTTCATTTTCAACTTCTTTGTCCTCGGGTCAAGGTTCATTGTCAAGCTCTGACACAGCATCGCAAACTGGTTTGTTTTCCAACTCTGCTGTAGTTTCTCTGTGCTAGCGCATGTTTCAACTCTTCACAGAAGTTTTTCCAACGCAGCGTCTCTGTGTAGCGAATTTCTTTATTAGACCTTGCATCATCTGCAGCAATGGTTGCTTAATCTATGTACTCTCTGGTTATTCTCTTTTGTTTTGCTGTAGGACGAACAAGGGTGGATGGGAAGGAGTTCTTTCGCCAAGTCAGGTGAGGGCATTTGTATTTGATCCATGAATGCATTGGAATCATGAATTGAGGCTGGCAAAAAATAAAAACACCTACCTAACAACATCGTCATCATTAGCTTTCACATTGACCATTTATAGTTGTGTGCTCGTTCGTAGAAGTCATAAGCATTCATGCATATTTCTGGTCCTGTAATTTGGAAGCTTCTACGCAGGATCCACCATGCTTCTCTTTGATCCATCTAGGGACAACGCATTGCAAAACTAAGCGTTGGAGGATAAAAAAAAAAAAAATGTTGTCAATTTAAATGGATCCGTTGGTTGTCTTTCAAAATTTTTCTTATCTGAGCATGAAGTAATGGAACAGCATCTGAATTTTTTTGTTGTTAATAGTTAACAAACTTGGAGTTTTGCATTGAATGATCACTTTGTGTTGGTTATCAGGAGCCGTTTGTCTTATGAGCAGTTTGGTGCATTCCTAGCCAATGTTAAGGAACTGAATTCCCATAAACAAACCAAAGAGGTAGTCTCTCCGGCACACTTTGTTACTTTAATGCTCTAATATATGCAAAGCTCACCTTGGCTATGGCCATTTTGTGGGGCAAAATTGCAGGAGACACTGCGAAAAGCTGATGAGATATTTGGGCCGGAAAACAAGGACCTCTATGCTATATTTGAGGGATTGATTACTCGCAACGTTCATTGACGACATTGCCAGAGGAAGTTTCAATTTCAGAATCTGTAAACAAGTGATGATGCTTACTGTACTCTGTCTCGTTTAGTATTTTTCCCCTTAGTGTAAATCACATGTTCAATGTGGTGTGATAAACTATTCTTTGAATATGAGGAATGCCTTTTGTTGTGCGGCCATTGGTTTTCTCGATAATAGTGAAGAAGCAGTTTACATTCTGTATTATGTATTAAGATGATGATGATAATAATACGTGAGCATCGTCTTCATAAATATCTATCAGTGTCGACAAGCAAAGCTTCTAAAGTGTTACCCTTGTGACTAAATCAAAGAATAAATTGAACTCGAAGTTGCACCGAAGGGTAAATTACCTTCGAAAGTTCACTCTCTAAAATTTTCTGAATTTAAGAGAATTTGAGCTGTTAAATAAATTAAGCTATGATAAATGCGTCTGATTTTGATTCATTGGTGGCAATATGAATGTAGAGAAATATAGATGTATAATTCTACTGGACACCCAAGCATTCGGCGCCTGTGATAAAATCATGAACATTCATTTAATCAAATGTTCTTAGAATTTTAATCCGATCTATTATTCGTATCAAGAGACAGCACGTGTGCAGAATTAGAGTAAATTAAATTAATAAAATTATTTTTTTTATACATGACAGGTAGTTTTTGGCGATGGATCGCAAATAAATACATGAATAGTTGGTTGTAATTTAGAAATTGTCAGAAAAGCATTTTGAAATAAAGGATATTGAAATGGAGACAATGAAGTAATGAGTGAATAAGGCATTTTGAGGAAGGAAAATGGGGTAAGAGAAGCCGTTAATTGAGCAAGAAAAATCGGTGAGGTTAATAACAACATTATGAAATGAAGTCGTTGCTGTATTAAGAAGACAACACACAAATCAATGCCAGCCGCTACTATCGGGTCTCCTCCTTTCATCCTCCTCCCTCTGTCCCCTCCATTCCCATGTTCTTTGGGATCCTTTCTGTTTAGGTTTTCGCTGCACAGCCATGGACCACGATCGTCGTTCCCCGGGGTAACTTTTCTCTTTTCTATGTCTGCATTTCCCTTTCGCGGTTTCATCGTCGCGTCGCTGTTATGTTTTATTGATGCAATCCTCAAATCCCATTTCACGCATGCATCATTGAATTGTTCCGAATTTGTCAATTTTTTGGTTGAATCTGGTAATTCGGTGGTTGAACCAATGTGGGTAACTTGCGGGGCACGCAGGCAGGCCTGGACATTGTGTCTCATTAGTCCTTGTCGTCGATGTAGCCTCGAGATAGATATATTTCTATGGGTACTTTTAACTTTTTTTGCTTCATTTTGTCACATTGTTATTTTGCTGAGGAAGATGATGATATTGGCAGCGCTGAATCCTTGGAATTAGAAAAGGGGGACTCAAAAGAGAAGAAGACTAATGCAAAAGGCAGAAGGGCTCGGACTGGGTATTCTGATTCCATAAGAGAATTGGGTAAATTGCAATTCTTCTTTTTAAATATCTGAACATAGATTGTCCATTGTACTAACCAAATGGTGCTAATTGTGAAAAATCAATTTCAGACTTGAATTCTTTATACATTAAAGAAGAAGGTTCAGCCGAGTGGCCTGCTAGCAGGGACATGCCTGAGGACTGCCGGGGAAGTTTAGAATGTGAAGCCCTTCCTTCCAATGCCAGCACTTCCGATTCAGAGTTAGCAGATGCTGCAAACAATGCTCAGTGGCGTGGCTTGCTTCGTTTCATGAAGAAAGGATCCCACATGCGCTTCGCTCATCCACCTAAAAACATTCCCAAACTCACCCGAAGAACAGTTAAACGAATCAAGGAAGACCTCATCCCTGGCCTACATTCTTCAGTTCCAGCTCCTTCTCTTGATCCAGATTTTTACTGCTTTAAGTCTTCATGGATAAATTTTTCCTTTACACAGCTCAAAGCTGCCACCAAAGACTTCAGCGATGGTATCCACTCCTTTATCTATAGTCTGTTCATTTTCTAACTAGCCCGTGAAGGATTAATTCAACTTAAAAGCTTAAGCTATTCTGAACAAAATCTCTATACTTGATATTATATCCAAAATTAGTTGAACTTGGAGGTTTAAGCTATCAATGGAGCCTCATATATAGTTTTGTTCTAATTTCTTAAAATCGCTAATGCAGTATTTAAAGAAAACCCCATGAATTTATCCGCTTCATACTTATATTAGTTGTTGCTTGCTTGATGATATACTGCTTCTGCATTTTTCCCCTTATGAAGAGTTGTTGATTGGGAAGGGAGGTTATGCTGAGGTTTACAAAGGAAAAATGGAAGACGGGACGTATGTTGCAATCAAACGGCTAACAAGAGGAAGCCAAGAAGAAATGACAGCTGATTTCTTGTCTGAACTTGGTATTATAGTGCATGTTGATCATCCCAATATTGCCAGATTGATTGGTTATGGCGTGGAAGGGGGAATGTTTCTTGTTCTTCAGTTGTCTCCACATGGCAGCCTAGCAGGCATTCTTTATGGTCTGTTTTCCATGTTGAAAAGTTTGAATGTGTGTATGTGTGTGTAAAAGAAACCTAAAGAGTTTCCAGAAGATCAAACTCATTGATCTTTTCCCTCGCATGGCATTAGGACCCCGAGAGAGACTGGATTGGAACGTGAGATTTAAGGTTGCTTTAGGGACTGCTGAGGGCCTTCAATATCTGCATGAGGGATGTCAAAGAAGGATCATTCACAGAGATATCAAGGCTGCTAATATTCTGCTATCAGAGGATTTTGAACCTCAGGTAACGTTTTAAGCTTCACACAGCTAACTATGGTGCCCTCATTTTGCAACAATATATGGAGAGTTTTCATATATTATCAACTTCTTAACTTTCAATCTCACAACAGGTATCTGATTTTGGGCTTGCAAAGTGGTTACCTGACCAATGGACTCACCATACCGTGGATAAAATTGAAGGCACATTTGGGTTTGTTCATCTAAAAGCATAACAAAGTTTCTGTGTGTTTTAAATGAAAGAACTTTCCTTCCACCCATTTTTTGACCGTTTTTCTTTTGGTTCCGTCACCTTTTGTGTTATAACAGTTATCTTCCTCCGGAATTTTTCATGCATGGTATAGTTGACGAAAAGACTGACGTGTATGCTTATGGAGTGTTATTATTGGAGCTCATTACAGGACGACAGGCTCTGGACAGCTCTCAGAAAAGTTTGGTGATGTGGGTAAGTTTCCTCTACTGTGCAGCCCAATGCTGAGATTTTTCTGGGGGAATGGCTTATTAACATTGAGAATATCAAATATACAAATTTTTGCAGGCAAAACCTTTGCTATCTGTAGATAAAATCAAAGAGCTCGTGGATCCATGTCTACGCAATGCGTATGATGAAGAACAGATGAAAATTGTTGTAATGACGGCTTCATTGTGTATAGAGCAGTGTTCAATTGAGCGACCACACATGAGCCAGGTAAGTTGTACTTGTATACAAAGGATGATTCCTCGTACATTGTTGGCTGATTTGGATGAATAAGCAGGTATTGAAGACTCTGAAACGGGACGAAGGGGGCTTGAAGTTCGTAATGGAGCGGCAAAAGTCAAAACTTAGGAGGACGTATTCTGTAGAGCTGCTAGACGCAGAGGATTACAACTCAACCAAGTTTTTGAATGACATGAATCGAGACACCAGTTCAGACGGCTTTGACTCTTTGAACGAAGAAAATGCCCACAAGTAGAAATAAATATGGCCTTCGATTCACATAACTTGCCTAAGGGCTTGACGTTTAATAGATGTGTGAGCTCGGTTCCATTGAGGCTGAACCGGTCATGCAATGTTAGTGAATGTTGTGTGTGTAAAGCCAAGCCCATCTGATTATCGGCCGTAGAGCTGTTTGCATTTTTTTAAGTTCATTGGGGCCCGCCCAATATCATAATTTACTACTAATTTATTTATTCCTTACTCTTTTTTTTTTTAAATAGATTTATCCTTTTAGCAAGAACCAGATATGGTATAAATATGATAGCTTGAGCAAGCACAGATTGAGTCTTTAAATAAAGAAAGGATATTTTTTATTTGTGAACATTGTTGAGCAATGATAAAACTATAATTTATTTTAAAAATATAAACAATAATTTATTTTATTATACAATTTATTATGTTGTACATATTAAAAGTTTACTATAATATTCAAAAAAAATATATATATATATATAGAAAATATAGGTTAGAATGCAACCTCAGCCATGCGGAATTTGAAGAGAGATTTATATAACCAAAGAAAGAAAAGGCAATGTGGCAACGCTGCGGAAGAACTGAACACAAGAACATGGTGTGACTGTACTAATTGAACAGCATGCTGAAGCAAAAGTGAACATGTTGTCCCTCTTCTAATTCAACTTTGCCAAGTGGTATTTGTGGTGGAAATGTGATCCTCCTAGAAACAGAGGGACCAATGACAGAGGATCACACAAAAGTTGGAGATGACCTTGTTGTGCTTAGCAAACTCTCATATCTTTCTCACACGCACACGCGCGTACAAAATTGGGCAGGTGGAGAGGATCACAGCCACTCTTTTTTCCTTCAACTTTAGGTGAGATGCCACAACAAGAACCTGTGCCCACCTTTCCATGATCTTATCATGTTGTAGGTATTATTAAGAAAATAGTTCTTTTAACCCCTACTTACAACCACAGCTGGTCCATAAAGCCGTTATTCCTCCTGATAATTATAACTTAATAAATAAAGTGTTTTTGTGAGGTTTGGATTCTCGACCTTACCACGTATATAATATGTTTTGGAAAGCAAGGCATATTCTATGTTATCTTTACCAGAAAACTTGTACGAGTATTTATACCAATGATCCTGTAACTTTTTCTGAGTTAGAAGAAGGCAGAATGACATTTTTGACACTAAAAACGAATTTCATACCATTAGTATCAAATTGATTAAGCATCTTTATTCTTCCACTAAAATTAAAATTCGTCTTTTGGTCTGTGTATGTGAGAGAGGGTCAGAGCGGCAGAGGGTAAATTTCTTTTCAAGCCGAAGTGTGTGCATGAACGTTGACATGATCACTGACTCCTTAAATTTGCAAATGTGATTTTTTTTTCCCCAAAAATTAAATGCTTTAATCAAACTTCCATAAAAGTCACAATTTTTTAACGACTAATTAATCATCTGTGAACTGTAACAGCCTCCGCGATACCAATTGAGGAAAAAAACATTCAAACATGTCTAAACGGATACATAGGACATTTTTATTAATTATAAAAACCACTCAGCAAAACGCAACAAGTTTCATAGATTGAATATATTTATATTTTAAAAGATTAAATTAAAAAAAAATAAGCTCCCATAATTAAATGGGTAGCCCATATTTGTTATGCACGCTCGTAAGAAGAGCGGAAGGGGTCGTGAGACGGCACTAAATTGCCCAAAGCGGCTTGCAAATTCCCATTAATGGTAAAGGTTGGTGGGTCCCTATTTCTTTTCTCCTGCACAGCGCAAACAAGAATAGCGCAAATCCATACACCCATTGCCCAGCGGCAACAAAAAGCTTGGATTTTGCTTCTCTCATCCATCTCTTTCAAAGGTTTCACTGCATTTAAAGTCCCATTGATTGAGCAATAATTCCTCCAACTTCAACTTCTCAACTTCAACACTCCCATTTCTCGGCTGGGTCACTCAAACCATGGAGGTGGGTCAGATGCAGAGACAGTGGGTCGACTGCATGAAATCCTTGTTCATCGAGGTATCAATATTACTGCCCTATCGCACTCTGAAAATTGGGATTATTCTCACATGGGGTTCTTGCTTTTTGTTTGTTTGTGACCGGATCTGTTTCTCCTTGTTGGGTTGTTTTCTTCTTTTGTTATGTCTGTGTTGGTTTTAGTTGTGACTTATGCGTCTTGTTATTTTCTGTTTTATGGGGCGAAAAGGGCTTCCTTGATGCTCAGTTCTTACAACTCAAGCAACTACAAGACGAGGCCAACCCTGAATTTGTTGTTGAAGTTGTGTCCCTCTTCTTTGAAGATTCTGAGAGGCTTCTCACTGATCTCACCAATGCTCTGTGAGTTTCCATAATTTTTCTCTTGCTTGATAACCGAAGTTAATCGAACCAGTTCCTGATGTGGTAAGAGTTCTTATGACTCACTGAAACAGTGAGCGTTTGTTATATACAATAGTTAATTTAGTACTGATGTTTCATTTAAGTTTGAAATGAATTCCTTTTTGGCACCTTTTACCTGCTCTAATAAAAGTCTCTCATTAGAATGCTGCTTACTGCTAACACCTTGGAAAAATAAAGAGTTTTCATGTTATTCTGCCTTTTCCCCCTTCTTTTTTATGCAGAGATCAGAAAGTAATTGATTTTAAAAAAGTTGATGCTCATGTTCACCAGTTGAAGGGTAGCAGCTCAAGGTATAAATTTTAATATCCCCTCCCCCCAAAAAAAAAAAATTATCACAGGATGTGGATCAAAGTTATCAAACCCTTTACAGCAATGATTTAAAGAGTTTCTTTAGTGCAATCATTGATTGCCTTTAGATGGCTACCCAAAAAGAAGTTGGTTGCCAAAGAAGAGAAGTTATACATGAGCCTACAAAGACTAATCAAGTTGCATATGTACGAGGACTGATTTAGGAACAGCTAAAAGAGGAAAAAATGCATAAAGTCATTTAATTGGATCATCTATAGCTATCTTCTTCTTTGGTTATGCTTTGACAAATTTGTGTTTGTGGCTCACAGCATAGGCGCTCAAAGGGTCAAGAATGCCTGCATTGCTTTCCGCAGCTTTTGTGAGGAACAGAACGTAGATGCGTAAGATGTTTTTCTTCTGACTAACTGATTTTTAACTCCGGAAAAGGTTTTGAGAAGTTAAGGTTTTGGAATGAACCAGCACTTACCTCGTAAACAGGAAGACATTGAGACATGCCAAGATTGAAAGTTTTTATGTATATACAACTGTAGTGTTTGTTCAACACCAATTTTTAACACATGCTGAAAAGAATTATGTTATGTGTTAGATTTTTTATATTAATATTAAGTATGCTTAAGAATAGTATACTCCATCAAAATCGCTTAAGTCATTTGATACTTCCTAAGCTTTATATATCATGATTCATTTTTTAATCTTTTAGATGTGGGACTTCTTTTTACATTCTAATATTCTCTCTACTATTTTTTTTTTTCTTCTTCTTGCCTGAGCTTGTACTTTTTTTAATTTCAGAGGCCTTTGATTTATTCAATTTATTCTCCTTTTTCTTCTTCTTCTTCTCTCTTTTCTTTTCTTTTTAAACTTCTTGTTGTATTTTTTTTTTCATCTTTCAATTTTTTTTCCTTTTTTTTTTGGTCGCCCAATCAAATGACTCATGATACCAGGTTAGATTTTTTATATTAATATTAAGTATGCTTAAAAATAGTATAATTCACCAAAATAGCTTAAGCTATTTAATTAGATACTTCCTAAGCTTTATATATCATGATCCATTTTCTAATCTTTTAAATGTGAGATTTTTTTTTTTTTTTTTTACATTCTAATATTATGATAATGGAAAACTTACTTGCAGGTGCTTGGGATGCCTGCAACAAGTAAAGCAAGAGTACTGCCTTGCCAAATCTAAACTCGAAACTCTGCTTGGGGTAACTTTTAAGAAATTGTTTCTCTGGTTAGAAAACATGTAGTGTGTGTATTGTATATTGTGGGATGCTGTAATTTACAATTATTGTTTGAATTGTTTATGTTGCAGCTTGAGCAACAGATTGTTGGAGCTGGCGGGTCAATTCCTTTGATGGAACTGAGTTTGTAAAGAGTGGATGAAGTTGTAGAGAAAGCGTGTAAGAGTGTCTTAATGATCCTCGTTTTTCTTCTTCTTCTTCTTTGAAGATTCTATTGTATGAGTTATAGAGAAAGCTTGTAACTGTGATTGTACGAGTTTCAACGAAGAGAGGATTCCATGCCCTGTAATTTAATCACTACTTGTCTGAACAGCTTATATGCGAACTCTTCCAAGAAAATTTTGATGAGAAAAGCCCTTGAAAATATAATTTTTATACAAGTACATACATGAGAATTTAACATATTAAATTATTATTAATCCCGAGGGACCAACTATATAGTACTTGACTTAAGGTTTCATTAGTTTCTTGGCTCTTTCTAACGTGTGAGGAGTTCAGCTTAATTAATTGTTTTCTTTAAACGCTTGTGAGGAAATAAAGTGTTTGCAGTGAACGGAAGATAGAGAAACTTGTTGGAAAATGAATTTAGATGTAAATTGTTGACTTCTTTCCAGATTATTTCTGAGCTTGTTGTACGAAACTGTTTGCGGTAACTCGAGCTCATTAAGAATGAATGAAAAAAAGAGAAGTTGTATAAAATTACTTTTTTTTTTAATTCAAGTTATAGTAAAATTATTGACAGTTACAGTAGAAAGATAAGAGATTGCATTGTACCCTTCCTTTGTCTGCAAATAAAAAACAAACAAAAGCTTCATATTATCCTATCTTTCGGCCATGCATGATTTCTGTCTTCACACTCCCCACGCCCCTGGGGCCCCCCTTTTGTTTGGCAGTGGATTGATTCCATCCATCCAGTCATATACATATACATATACATATATATATATATATATATATATATATAATATTGCTCGTACAATTCTTGCTATTGCAATTAGATCAGATTTAAGCATTCTCTCAAAAAAAGAAGAAGAAGAAGAAGAAGCATTTTTGTGATAGTCATAGTCCCTTTCATTGTCATCAAAACCCTTGGTATTATTCGTTGGGTCCCATTTTATATGACATGTTTTGTGATAATTTGGTATCGTTAAAAATAGGACTTTTTTTTAAAAATAAAATTTAATTAATAGTAATTATTTTAATTTATCTTTCGTTATTTTATTTCTTAAATAAATTTCCTTTTCCCTCTCTAAATGGTACAGGAAAATTGAGATTATAAACTACATTTAATAAATTTTATTCAATTGTGTAATTTTATCAAAAAAAAAAAAATCTTGTAAGTAGATAGATTGAGACGGAGGGACTAGGGAGTATTTTGTCATTTAGATAACTTTATTGACTACCTTCAATTAATATCAGCATAATCAACAGCATTTTCGCAGTTTGCGACCAACATAATAACATGTTTGAAGATTCTTGTCTTGTTGCGCATTTATATTTTATCGGCATCACGCTCAAACTCCATCAGACAATGGTGTCAAATCAGCTACTGGGGCCATGACAGAGACACACGGAAAGAATCTTTCATTATTGATTGAGCGTGATCATCAAAATTGCCCAACGTCGAATCCTCGCGCTTCTTTAACAAAAAGAAAAGGCTTCACATTCTTTACTCCAAAAAAGTAAAGAAACCCTCCAAAAGTCTATCTCCAACAATATTTTAGTGACACCATTGACAGCACTTTGGCATAAAGAAGAAAAGATGCATAACTTTTTGGCAGAAAATAGTAGCCAAGTGCTCTTCTTCAAACAGATTACGGGACAGAGAGAATGGGGCTCGAGAATTGATTACTCATTAATCTGGTTTATAAACACTAACATACAAAGTGCATACTTGACAAGTTAATAGAAAATAGCGGCAAAGTATTCTTTTGTATTCTAACTTTATAAAAGTTTAATTTAATTTTTTAATTTCGTAAGGGAAAATGACATAAAAATTTCCATGCAAGATGAAAAAGACTTTTTTGACGTTAATTTTTTTTGATAAAATGAATAAAATATTCCTAGTTTAAAATTTAAAAAAATAGCTCTAGCCTTCAAAAAAATAAATATTTATTATTATTATTTTAATTTAAGTGATGATTATTTTTTTTTATAATTACTAGAATGAAACAACTAATTAAAATCTTTTAAATTTGTTCAGTGAAGTAAAAATTTGCATTAAGGAAGTTGTAATTGTATGTTTCATTTTATTTATTGTTAGAAAAAAATAATCATTACTTACACTAAAATAATTACATGTATTTACAACGTTTTGACTTTAGTGAAGCAAAAATTTATATAAGAGAAGTTATAATTGTTTGTTTTGTTTTAGTTATTGCCAAAAAAAAAATTATTGCTTAAATTAAAGTACTCACTAATATTTATCTCACTTGAATTTTATCAAATAAAAATTTGCATAGAAAAATTGTAATTGCTTGTTTCGATATAATTATTATAAAAAAAAATCATTACTTAAGCTAAAATAATTATTGATAATTTTTTTTAAGCCAGAGTTTTTACGTATTTTAATCATTTCACCAAAAATTATTAATGCAAAAAATGTTTTCGGATATTTTAAAAGAATTGTATCATTTTGTGAAATCTCCTTGTCACTTGCATATTTAGATTTTTTTGTCAGTTTCTCATTTTATAATGTATATTTCCAATTCTTAACCCTAACACCTAATATTGTTAGTCTCAGATGATAATTTTTTATACCAATCATATTATTCTAAAAAATTAAACTTAATATTTTAATATTTAAAATATTTTGTTAATATTTAAAATTAAAAATTGGTATTTTTTGTTAATGATAGGGTTAGAAGATTAAAAAAATATTTTATAAACTTAAAAAAACAAAATAGAATCTTGTATAAAATTAAAAAAATTAAAGGTGCATTTTTGTTAACATGATATACAGCTGTCACTTCTCTCAATAAGGATGCCTCCATTTTCTTCTCTGTTCATCGAAGCTTCCTACCTTGGCTATCTGGTTCTCATCACCATGTCTCTGTGCATACAGTTTATAATAACTCTCAGCATCTACATGCTTTAAAATCTGGACTGGTTTTCCTTGTTCATCATCTACAACAATTGACCCATCACAGGATATGAAACCTTCAGCTATGACTTTAAGTGGCTTGATCTCAGTTTTTGCATCAACACTGGAACGGCCATCAGCTAAGACAACTGCACCCAGAATTTCCCCCAAGAATGTGTCCCGTTACAGAATTTCATTGCACAAAAACAGATTAAATAGCAGAAACGAATGATAACAATAACATAATGTTCTGCTAAATGAAAAACACACTATGCTTCTAGTTAAACTGCTTCTGCAGGAGTGGTGTATATTGCGATAATATCCTTCGCCAAGTTGCAACATCGGTTCTAATGTTCTACAAAGAATGGGGAAAACCCAAGTCATGAATTTTATGAAATAAATTAGAACTGTTAGACGCTTCAGTAGATCCAGTCACCAAAATGAGTAAACTAAAGCTAACAATGAATGGACACATGGACACGTAAGATAGTAACAGATGGATTTCATATGCTTAAATGTCTACTATCCATGACTGATTTAGTCAATCTAAGAATCTTTGAAAAAAAGAAGAAGCATATCTATAAAAAATGAAAGAAAATTTTTAGGTGGACTAAATCTACAAAAGATTGTTAAACCCAATTGATCATGAATCATGCTAGGCTTACTTCGCAGCAGGATTGACTTCTGATATAGCTAGTTAAATGTCTGTTTATACTGAATTTGGTTTTAATCTACTGGGCTTGGTACTTGTCAACTTTTACTGCAGAGCTAAGCTATAACATGAAGGATGGCTGAAAAGTTTCTTTACCATATGTTGATATCTGTGGTGGGTTGGCTTCAAGCGGTATAGCCTTGACAACAAACGCTTGGCAAAGACAGCTTCAGGTGTTTTCTCTGCTGCACGCAACCATCTTAACATGGTTGAAAACGAGCTGCTAGCTTCACACTGGAAACCCAATGGAATGAGATTGATATTCACTTCAGACTCAAATACTGTCTTGGCAGCTAAAGGATCCAAAAACATATTGAACTCTGCATATTGGTTTGAAGCTACAGAAAATAGGTTTCCTTTGTCTTTTCCGTTCTCGCTCACATGTCCCCCTCCTATATAAACCTCCTGTAAAAATTTTGAGCTCATTCTGTCATTTGATCACTATAAAATACTTTTGTACTGAGGACTACAAAACTTTACCAGGACTGTTAACGGGCTGATCTTTGTCGAATTAATTTCCAAGTATTTCACAGTGAGAAGTATATGGATAAATCAACTGACCTGAATTAGAGAGCTGATGTTTTTCTCTGATACGACCTTGGCCAAATTAGTCAAAGGTCCATTGGTTAGCACTGTAATCTTAGACCCTTGTTTGATTGTTGGCCATATAGACTCCTAGACTTCCATAGCTGGCGGTTGTCTAAGTTCAGGATGATCAGTGTCCCTGGGAGCTCCAAACTTCGTTTTCTGCAGTACACCTGAGGTATATCTTGAAGTGTCATGGTTCATTGTTGGTTCAGAAAAATTCAAATGCTTCCATTTTTCTTACATGACAGATTCCAGTTAACTCTTTAGCAGTAATAGCGCTTTTCATCCTCTGCATAACCAATATGATTTCAAATGATTCTAATGCATAATAATAAATCAATAATGTTAAAGAAAGTAACTGAAAGCACCTTCTGGGGCTACGAGGCAGATCACGAGAAAGACCATAAAGAGTGTCAGAATCCAAGAACCCTCCACTCCCTTGTGGAATAGCTTCAACATAATTGCAGGCATCAACATCTGATAAGAATGAATTTGAATCCGTTGCAAACACATCTCCATGACCTACTGGGATATCATCACGACCCATCATGTGCAGTAGGTCATGCACCACATCTATTGTTGCAGCATCGGCCCATCCATTTGGGCTCACAGTAATTGCCTGACCAAAAAGGTACAGAGAACCCACATCAGATTTAGAGGTGAATTTTTCTCTTGGAATCTTGCCATGGAGAGAACATCTATGGTAATAAAAGGGTTAAACTGGTGTCTCTTAGTAGCAAGTGCAATATGACTTCAATTCATTCATGTCCAATTGAAACACGACAGGGAAGGTTTTTGAAGATTCAAAGAAGCAATAATAATGACGGGTCAAACTACCTTGAGGTCGATAACTTCATAAGGAACTTTTAGAAGATAAAATAGAGCAAGAAAGTCTCCTGCACTCATGTCCATGTCAAACACAACAGGTTTCCCCGGTCTTCTATGTTGAAAATCAGGCTTGTGAGTTACTTCTTCGTAGTAAGGAAA